TTGCCCCATTTCCAGCAAAATCGCGACAGTTAGCAATTCTCGCTTGTCGGTAAAGAGCGGAGGCGCGAGTAATTTCGAAGATTGCCGTTACGTGATCTTCTCGCGGTCTTCGCGGAGTTTTCCGGACTGGAGAACACGGTGGGGCTGCGCCGCCGTTTATAAACGTCACCGCTACAGCCGACAACGTTTCAGTCGTTTTTTTGCCACGACCGGTGAGTATCGTTTGTTCGACACGATCGTTCCGATCGACGAAGATTTACAAGCGCAACGAGAGTCATGAAGCCCATTGTTCTGTTAGGTGAGTAAGAGAACCAGAGGGAAAATAACGGGAAACTTCTTGTCTTTGACACGCGCGATTCACTTCGATTACGCGAGAGAAACGAGAGAAAGGGAAAGTCGATTATTTAATACGTTCACGTAAAGAATGTCTTAGCGTTGTAAAGTATTATGAAAAAAGTAGATCGAAAGTGCAGAATAAAGTTTTTCCATTCAACGTGTCTTTATATTTATATTTAGGTGTACTTGGTATATTTGATTTAAACTTATCATTATTTATTAGCTGTACTTGAACTTCATTAATTCTAGATTAACTACAGGAAGTTAATAAGTGACAAGTGTAAAACTGATCGTTTTAGAGTTTCATCTTTAAGGCGGAGTTTGGTCGAAAGTCGGGCGCGCTTGATAAATTTTCAAGCTGGACTTTCTTGAAAACGAAGCTTGTGAAAAAATCGTGCACTTTTGTATAATAATATGTCTAAGATCCAAAGTATATCTGATAAGTTTTGGTAGTGGAGAAACATTTTTTTAATGAAACATTTATATTTTTCGTTTAAACATTTATTTTTTATAACTGCATTATATCAGTATTTTCTCACGAAATTCTCGTGCGTCGCTATTATTCAAAATTTTGTGCACAAATTTTTCCGATTTTTTTTTAAAACGTTCACAGCCATCAATACATTTTGAAAAGAAGGTAAACAAAATTTTATCCCGCTAATTTTTCCTCCACGGTTTGCGAGATTTTAAATTTAGAAACGATAATTCGAACGATAATTAGTATCAATCTGTTATGATTCTCTTTTCTTTCACTTGGAATATTTCACTTGTGTTAATTTTAACTGAAAAAAATTCTGTGAAACTAGCTAGCACTTCTTGGACACAATAATTTTGTCCTGTTAAATTCTGAAAGTATTATATTATCCTTGGAAACAAGCTATCATTCTATTTCATTTTCCTCGTTATATATGAAACGTCTCGTATTTTATTGTCTAAGCTTTGTCAGTGTGTTCTATAGGTAAAAAAATAAACAAAACTAAGATATTATATAACAGAAAGTCCATAAATGCTTCGTTAAAAAGTTACAACAAAAGTTAGAAAAGTATGAAACGTAAGATTGTACACATTATCAATGTAAAATTGATATCAAAGTATCATTGAATTTACTCTGGGCCAAATTTCATATCGACTTTGTGTGAATTTCTTCACACCATTCGTGCAATCGATCCATTTCATGTAAATATTTCTATATTGTAAATTTTTGATGCCAGAGACAACAAATATTTTTCTACAGGTAGAAATCTTCTGATGACCTAAAAAATCAGAAGATTAATTCTCCTCCAATAATCGATCGTTGAAATAGATCGTACTAATTGTTTTTGTTGTACACTTTCTTCATATTTTTGTTACAACTTTTTAATTCTACCGTGGACGAAATGTCTCGTCCGATATCACGACGACTTATCTAGCGTGTTTCTTTTGTATTTTCTTATTAGGATCAATCGAAGGAAAGAAAAATAATCGAGATATTTCGTCACCACGACAGCAAAGGATTCTTTGCCTGTTAAATATCTTGATCATTGTCTTGCAAAATATCTGTGATATTTCAATCTTATTTTTATCTATAGAACACACTGACTGAAGTTTGAAAGGACGCTGAAATGCGAGACATCCGGTACAATATTCGATGATTGCACGTTTTCTTTTCGCGATTTAGCGTTGGTGGTGGTGTGCACCCTCGCTTTTGTCGAGAGCACGAGCGCCGTGCCTGCGGACACGACCACCACCGTGTCGACGAAACGTGTTAAAGAGCCTAAGGAGATCAAGGAGACGGCAACCGCGTCGAAAGACGTGAAAGCGGCCAAAGAAGCAGCGAAAAGGAATAAGAAGGACTGCGCGAAAGAATGTGGAGTGGCGTACGAACCGATTTGCGTGCACGATCCGAACGACGCCAACTTCAAACCGAGGACGTTCGGCACTCAGTGCGCCCTGGACGTTCACAACTGTGAAATGGGAACGAGTAAGTGTGTTCGTTCGAATCACTGATCAATCAGGATTAAATATGCAGAATCTTGACTGTGACGATTTGACTGATACAGATTTTTTACACGGAATTCGTAGGAATCTTTTTTTTTTATTATTACGAATTGTATGCGCTATATAAAACAGTTTTTATCAACTTAGTTCAACGAGGTTCGAGTTTGGAATTTAAATATAGATAAATAGTATAGAGAGTAAATATAATATATAATATGAAATAAATATGATGTATGACAGTTAAGTTGTGATCTTATTTAATTTTAATAGTCTTTTAAAATAAACTTTTAAAATTAATAGTCTATGTATTGATGGTATTATTTGAAAATTTATCTAATTAGGAGAATTTATTTCCATTTACTGACTCGACATAAATTAAACATATACATTCCAGCTATTAAGCTAAAATTGAAAGACCACTTAAGGGCTAACGTAAGTACATATTTCTCTATTATGTTCTTTTTTTTTATTTCAATTTTCAACTCCTATCGTTTCAAATTGAACTCTCAAAAGATTCACATTACATCGATGACCTAATGACTCTTAACTTTAATCTGTATCTTTCAAACTGAAGCTTCATACTTGAAATTTATCACAAATTGAACTCTCAAAAGATTCACATTACATCGATGATCTAATGACTCTTAACTCTAATCTGTATCTTTCAAACTGAGGCTTCATACTTTAAATTTATCACTGAATAAATCTCACCTAATTTGACTTTGTGATCGATCATTTTGTCTCTGTATGTACGTCTCATTTCGACTGGTGTCCATTACAGAGCTGGTGGTGAAGAACAAGGGCGAGTGTCCTGGATCTGGCGGCGTGGTTCTCTCTTGAACAACGAACGATTCTCTCTCTTATCCGGCTGCAAACAAACAAACAATGTAAAACAAACCCGCCAATGCTTGAACGCTTATGCGAAGTCGCGCTTGGGCTCTAGATCTAGCTTTAGCGAGAATAAAACTCTCGAATGGAAATGATACCGAACAAAGGAAATAAAGGAAATTTCGTAAAATCAGAGAAACCGTGATTTTCATGAAACTTCTTCTCTTTCTTCCCTCTTTGTTACTTTTTCTTTTTGCTTTTTTTTTCTCTCTCTCTTCGAGGGGACAAGGGGATAGATTTAGGATTCGCAAGTGGGAGCGAAGGCGAGTGGCCTTTATCCAGAGGTCAGGAGGGCGAGGGGGGGAACAGGGGCGAGCCAGCGATTACGACAAGTGGTAGATAAGCGATCGCGTGGTCGTGTTAGCGTTAGAAGAGAAGCACCATTGTTTGTCAATTCTCGAACGTTGCGCGAAAAATCTGCGACTATTAACGGCAACGCAGTAACCGGAAGCCCTTCGGGAGGATGGCTGGAGGGAGACAAGAGGAGAGAGAGCCAACAGTGGGACGAAGGTTCGCAAGTCGAACAAACCGCACCACCTCGAGGGACAGGAGATTTTTTTTTTTTTTACTTTGCCCAAACGCAGGATGATCCTGTTTCTGCGGACTGTTCGACCGCTGTTGATGGTGATCTCG